TCTGTGAAAACCCACTAAAATGTCTCGACCTTTTCATCACGGACCAGAACACCGGCTAGGACGATGCTCTGGAAATGATTATTCACACCCACGAACAGACCAAATGGCATGTTGTACAGGTTTGTTCTGTATGTCGTATCGAAGGTAACAACATCTTCAAAGAATGTGTACTACAACCTGCTGCTCCCATTTGCCCACATAAGAGTCGTTATCCAACCATCTTGGTCTGCCTGGACATGATAAGTGAAGTGCGGATCTCTTGAGCCCAGATCCGCAAACACCTCCATGGTCTTCCTCACATCATCCTCTGCCTGCTCTCTACTGATTTTACCATACAAATTTTTCAGAGCTCTTTTTGTGAAAGGAACCTTTTCCATTGAACCAAAGAAGCTTCCAATTATGCTGTGTACTTTGGCTAGATTCACATTGTTCTGCCGCAATTGCTCTACCAAGTCTCTGATGTACGCATCAATGTGCTTGTGTGAAGGCCAGTGTATTGTCTGGCCATATGTGGGAGAAAGCGGATGGTTGTGCTATCCACGATGCTCAGCTATGTACCACCCATTGTCCTTTGAGCGGAGCAATCTTATTAATGTCGGGCACTCAATCAACAACATGATCTAGTGTTTTCCACACCAGCTTTACCCTGCAAAAACCAGTAATACAAGCACTGATGAGTCAGGTTCCACAAACCCCAGAAGTAGAACAAATGTAGGAAATACTCCAAAAGTGGTACAAATGCATACCACACATCCGCAAACAATTTCCTGCATGCATTTTGTTCTCTCCACATTCAGCCTACTCTCCCATGAGTTGAGATTCTAAAAATCATAGGCCTCCCTGAGTGTATCAAAGCTTGTACCCAGTGCTGACACGATTACAATGCTTCCCGGCTTGTCACCGAACCCCCTTATTGCCTTCTCAAGGGCGCTGGTTCGCCCAGGGCAAGGCGCCCTTCCAGGAGCAGAATCTCCAATTCTAACCCTGCATTTTGACAAATTACTTCGTGAACAGGATGTATGTGTAGTCAAAATGAAACCTGACGATATCCGTATAGTGCATAAATTCAGAGTTTTGAACACTAGGGTCTCATGTACTTTCCTATTTTTTTCACCAGCAACAATCCCTTACATGTGTGTTCAACTGAAAGCTGCATATTGGAAGCTTACCATCTAAAATCTGCTCTTCATTTCACTCGGTTGAAATAAATTGTCTCACAACCAACCCAAGACTGCTACACATTTCTTTTTTCTAATACACGTGCTGGTACAAGCTCCAGCTATGGTTGCAAAGGTAATATATATAACAATTGTAATTGTTATCCGTCTTTCATATTTCCCAGAATCTGCAAATTAAAAAAATTTACATGTCTGATCACTCTATATTCAGCATGTCTAACCAGCTCACTTCTAGTCCAGCATACATTTTTTCTGTATTCCATGATTTTAGGTTTCTCTATACCAGTTTTCAAATCAAATTCGCTACCTATCCCATGCAGCAGAATTTAGTATACGCAAAACAGAGAATCACTACTATGCCCTCTTCTATTCATTCGTTGCTTCTAGTATGTACAGCACTGAGTAGTAGGAAAGCACAGAGGCATCTTCCAAAAATTCAGTATACAACCATTCGATTTTTTTGCACTATCTACCTTTCCCAATTGATGTGTGTACAGCCTACTGCAGAACTGACCAGCTTAAAAGCAAGAAGCCTGCGGTTCATGGGATTTTGAAGTACACCTAAAATTGGAAAAACAGTCTCAAGTGCAACTGTGCAAGCACTAGTACACGGAGAGATTACCTGCGAGTCTAGCCTAGAGTTTTTGGATCAATCTGACCAATAGATTGCTTAGATGCCTGCGGTTCATCATTCCCCTCCGCTGCGACTGCCACATCCGCCGCACAGATCTGCCCCCATTGGGGGCAGCTCCTCGGCTGCTGTCGCCACCGCTGGGTAGTGCAGTGGCTCCACCTGTAGCTGGTTGTCGTTCACCTTTTCCATCACCGCACTCCTGCAGTGCACCAAGTCCTTTGGATCAGGACCATCTCAAAATCAACAAGAATAAACTCTTTGGAGACAGATTGGGGGCGGGAAGAGGAATGGGGGGTGAGGGATTTGCATTACCTCCTAATTGGTTGAATCAGGAACTCCATTGCCGAATCTCGCCGCCGTGTATTCCTTCCACCGCAGATCTCCGCGGGCATCAACGGACAATACAAAAAAGCTTGGCGAGAGGTGGGAGACAGCTCCGTTTTTGGTCTGAGTCATCATTGACTAGGCTGCCCACCGCCGACTGCCGGAGATTCCAGTTCCTGAGTCACGGATCAGGAGCATAACTGCAACCCGAGCCACGGCTCGGGGAAAATCCCGTCACGGCGCCATCCGCGGGCTCCGTCACTGGCGCTGCGTACGGCGCAGCAGCATACTGTATTCCCTCCCCTCATGATTTAACAATGATCGACCCGCTGGCTCAGTAATTCAACACCACAAATCCCAACGCCGTACCCAGCGGTCACGATAAAGTGCTCACCTGTGCTCGCGAGCAGAACAACCACGTCCATAATTATGAGATTATCTAGGCATGATCATGTACATAGGCATCACGTCCGTAACAAGTAGACCAACTCCTGCCTGCATCTACTACTATTACTTCACACATCAACCATTATCCAGCATGCATTTAGAGTATTAAGTTCATAAAAACAGAGTAAAGCATTAAGAAAGACGACATGATGTAGAGGGATAAACTCAAGCAATATGATATAAACCCCAACTTTTTATCCTCGATGGCAACAATACAATACAATACGTGCCTTGCAACCCTTTCTGTCACTGGGTAAGGACACCGCAAGATTGAACTCAAATCTAAGCACTTCTCCCATGGCAAGAAAGATCAATCTAGTAGGCCAAACCAAACCGATAATTCGAAGAGACTTGCAAAGATAACTCAATCATACATAAAAGAATTCAGAGAAGATTCAAATATTTCTCATAGATAAACTTGATCATAAACCCACAATTCATCGGATCTCGACAAACACACCGCAAAAAGAGTTTACATCGAATAGATCTCCACAAGAGAGGGGGAGAACATGGTATTGAGATCCAAAACGAGGGAAGAAGCCATCTAGCTAATAACTATGGACCCGAAGGTTTGTGATAAACTACTCACAACTCATCGGAAGGGCCATGGTGTTGAAGTAGAAGCCCTCCATGGTCGATTCCCCCTCCGGTGGAGCGCCGGCGAAGGCTCCAAGATGGGATCTCGCGGATACAGAAGGTTATGGTGGCGGAAATATTTCTTCGGTGGCTCCCTGTATGTTTTCAGGGTACGTAGGCTTATATAGGAGGAAGAAGTACGTCGGTGGCCGCTCGAGGGGCCCAGGAGATAGGGGCGTGCCCAGGAGGGGTGGGCGCGCCCTCCTATCTCCTGGCCGCCTCGAGTGCTTCTTGACTTGCACTCCAAGTTCTCCGGATCACGTTTGTTCCAAGAATCACGTTCCCGAAGGTTTCATTCCATTTGTACTCCGTTTGATATTCCTTTTCTTCGAAATACTGAAATATGCAAAAAAAAACAGCAATACGGGCTGGGCCTCCAGTTAGTAGCTTAGTCCCAAAAATGATATAAATATGTAAAATAAAGCCCATAAACATCCAAAACAGGTAATATAATAGCATGGAACAATTAAAAATTATAGATACGTTGGAGACGTATCAAGCATCCCCAAGCTTAATTCCTGCTCGTCCTCGAGTAGGTAAATGATAAAAACAGAATTTTTGATGTGGAATGCTACCTAGCATAATTCTCAATGTAATTTCACTTTATTGTGGCATGAATGTTTAGATCCAAATGATTCAAAATAAAAGTTCATATTGACAAAAGAAATAGTAATACTTCAAGTATACTAATAAAAGTAATCATGCCTTCTCAAAATAACATGGCTAAAGAAAGTTCATCCCTACAAAATTATATAGTTAGGCTATACTTCATTTTCGTCACACAAAGATGTTCCCAACTTCTACACCCCCGATGACAAGCCAAGCAATTGTTTCGTACTTAAATAATCTCAAACTTTTTCAACCTTCACGCAATGCATGAGCGTGAGCCATGGATATAGCACTATGGGTGGAATAGAATAATGATTGGGGGTTGT